AATACAATGTAATAAATTTTACCTGTATTCCAGTATTTTTTGGCGTGACTAGGGGATGGGATATATAGCAATTGAACAGTTCGTAAATCTGTTGTCTCCTCATTTGCGGATAAATCTTTCGCCTTTTACTGTGCGTTGGCATAATACGATGAGTCTTATCTCACATTTTCCAACTCCATTTTCGCACGAAATAAAAGAAACTGACTTCTTCTTGTGACCTTCAGCTTTTTGAACAAGAAGTTTAGCCCTAACGTGGTTCCCACTACTCAAACGTTTGCTGTGTTCTTACGCAACAAAAGTACCATTTCTGATCTATACGTTTGGAGATTACTTTTTTGAGTTTTACCCAACTTAATAGTTAACTGTGGTTTTGCCTCAGCTAACCACTTTTTAGTTTTCACGTACAGGCTAGCTTCAGTTTATCCCAAACCGTTTTTATCCATTTTTGCCCGATTTGAGTGTGCTGTTTTTTTGCGGTCTTAGGTTTTCGCCAGCATCTATAAAAAATTTCTCATCATTATAATCATGAAAAATTCATGCACAGGAACTGGATAAATTTTGCTGTTACATGTGGCACGCAGTGCGAAAACTGCAAAGGTTGGTTCCATGAGGTGTGCACAGATCTCACAACAACAGCTTACAACAGACTAAGTGAGTCGGATCATAGGTGGGTATGTATCATGTGCAACACAGATGCAAAAGCTGTGCTGGGTGACATCATTGTCCTATTGACTGGTCTGCGGAGTAAGTTGTCAGCAAACTTGATAACATGGACGCGCAATGAAAACAAGACAGGGGATCTCGACAGCACTACTATTGAAGGAGCATGTATTAACACCGGTGACTACATGCTGAATCTCATCACCATTATAACATCGACGGTAATAGACTCCCTCAGCAGACTTGGGTTTCCCAAGTCATTGTTCCCAAAAACTCTGTAGGTGATTGGATCCCGGTCACCAAAGTTAAAAAGGATCAGGCGTCACTGTCTAAAAATCTGAACGTCCCAAGAATTGTAAGGAAATCAACTGGTGATTAAACCGCACAGTCAACCATCAATAATGTCTGTCCTGCCATCAAAGAGCCGAGAAATCGGAAACTCGCTTCCACATCCAAACAACAAAGCTTTCAACCTAAACGCACCGGAAAAACTGGGAAAACAATAACGGTTCGTGACGATTCTCATGAAGTTTAAAGACAGCCCTGATCTCCTTCTCAGCTCGCAGGACAAAAATGACAGGATGTTCTAGGGAAAATTGAACAAGCTTGGACTTCCCGGAATGAGACTTTGAGGATCACATGGCTCACTCGAGGAAAGAACTCTAAGCACCAACATCATCCAAGGCTACTTCGTGTAACACTCCCTAATGCTAGTGTTTTACAGGATATCCTACTAGCTATTCACTTACTAAAATCTGGTGGGAACGTAATAATACTACCTGACATACATTTTTACGCTGAAGAAATATTGTTGGGTGGCGTCCAGTCGCTGTCGATTATAATCACTACTACAGGAAGACTACGTGCCAGTTAACCGATAAGATCTCCAGTAAGCCAAATATCAGAAGGCAGTTGATGGCTATAGTCGAGATGTATTTATTGGCAATCTCGTGATATCGAAAGAATGCTGAGATCGTGCCAGGTTACAAGTCTGGTTACTGAGCGCAACCGAATTTGTGCAAGGTCACAATCAACGGAAGAAAGAATGTATGTATTTCGGCACAGTTAAACAAACAAGTACGGTTAAAAAAATCCCTGATATAATTGGTTATAATAAAACAGATGGATTGGGATGTTCACCCCCAGCTTGCAGTGAATGCTCATTGGGATTTTTTACTACACACGTTCTTACTTGCTAAAAAGCAGTCTGTTCCTCAAATGGTCCCAAAAATCTACAAACAACCTACAGTCATCAAGAAGCGCACTCTTTGATTGCTGAGCCGCAAAAGACGCTATTGGACAGAATACAAACGAAATGACATCAACGGCGCGTACAGGCATTACAAACATATAAGGAACATATGTACAAAGGCAACAAGAGAAGACAAACCTCAGTACCAGATAAAGTTTATCGACAAATTTGTCTTCAATCCGAAAAGCTTATTTAGTTATGCAGCCAAAACTGGAATTTCCCAACTGCTAGGTCCCAATGACCTGACCAATAACGGCGGTGACGCCGCAAAGCTTTTGGGTGAACAAATTTCTCGGGCATTTCAACTGACCCACATTAACTATATAAATAAAAGCCTAACCTGTAACTAAATAGACCTTACCGAAACTACAGCACCTAAGAAAAGGCACATCTCTTGGCCTGGATACGGTACATTCTGCTATACTGAGGGGAGCAGCTTCAATCTCGACAACACCACTTAGCGTTTAACAGAAGTTATACCCAAGTATGCAAAATACATTAGATGTAAAAATAGCATTTGAAGTTTTAGCAGTCAAAATTTAAATAGTTCCAATGTTTCATCCATCAATCTGGTCTGGGCTTCTTCTGTAGTAATATAATAGGAATGAATACTATCAAAAAATATATCAGGTATGAAAAAAACTTACACTAAAGACTTGTGCAATCATGTTTATTTTGTTTACAACAAGGACAAGAGATGATTAAATGTGCGTCTGTATGTTGGTATCTGTGTTTAATTGTCATTAAAGATAGTGAGAAAATGTCTTTGTCGACGCTCAAGGACAATCGATCGTTTATGTTTAGTGTAGATCTGTAATATAAATAATTATTGACTGGCCTATATTTTTTTACATACATACAAATGAACAGGTTGAAAATGAACTAGTTGAAAAGGATTCCTTCGCTATATAAATTCTATTATTTAGTCTGAAAGTAAAATAAATTAGACGAAGTATATGTGGTAACAGATCATTCACATAGTGAATTATGATGTTAAAAACAAACTATATAAATGATAATCATCAATGTGTCAAAAAATTAAAGAATAAAATTCATTCGAATTCAAGAATAAGATCAGCTGGAATCGTGGCAAATTTTGATACTTTCTTTTACTTACTAATGTACCGATTCAACAGACGTCAGTTATTATTTGTGAATATTTAGAAGGAGATAAATGTTAAAAATTTACATTGGCCTTTAGATTTTCCTAAGATTGACGACACAAGATTATCCACAGTATTACAACGGACAACAAACCATTATTTTTCTCCAGACTTTTGTATAAATTCCTAGGCAATACGCGACTAAAGAACATTTGGGAACGAATATCCAGGCACTTAAAAAATTCAAGGTGGTAGCAACATTGAGTTCAGATAAAATAAATTTATTTTGACTTCCAATATTTACAGAATATTACTCAAAATAAAACATGTTAGCGTTTTATCATGTAAAACACGTGAGCATGCTAGAAAGTATTTACTAATCTGAGTATGAAATCAAGAAGCTGAGAAAACACGTAATTCAGTCCAAAACGTTGACCGTGAACATTTGAAACATTACATAAGTAACGTAGATCTGACACAGTTAAAAACAAAATATCGCCGTAACACTAAAAAAAACCTATGAAAAGTGTACGGCACAAAACATATCATCCACCATAAATTACAAAAATGATAGTAATGATAATCCTCACTTTGTTCTGATCGGTTGTTAGGTTGATTATTGAGATTACAAACGAGATTTGAATTTACTTTCTGTCTTTGTGTTCACTAAATCTCCACTTTACTGTAAATGAAATAAAGAGTAGGACAATCTTTTGTGATTTTGTTTTCTTATAACTGATATACATTCTTTGAAAATGTTGATTTCGTTCATATTACTACCTAATAGTCCGGACCAGATTGGTGGACGAAATGTTGAAATTAACAAAGTTCCAATCTCTGAAACTATTGAAATGCAATGCTCTCTATATGAATTGCTTTGCCTGTAAATTTTCCAGACTCCGAAATAATCTACTACAATCTATCCGTAAGATAAAATAACTCACAGGTCATAAATATAATACCTAACCAATTTTTGAACAAGTAAATTTATATCAAATGTTTGTCCTCTACATTTAATGTTACTATGTGTATCAAACTGATCATATCCGTAAACTGGAGTGAATTCTGCAAATATTATCTTCAGAATATGTAATGCTTAAAATTGTTTAATGATCTGTTATGTTTAATTAATGAAGAAACGGATAGTCATTTGAAAATGTTTACCCTTATCATGCACTGATTTAGTCGATGTTTCAATTTACTGAATTGGACTGGATAAGTCCAGACTTTAAGAACGAATTCCACTGCGCTTTAATTCACCAGTTGGGGTAGAATATAGGTGAGAAATAGCTTTACATACGGTGTACAGTTAACTAACTGAACGAAAAAAGATGCCACGATTCAGTCAGGCTAACGGATAATCTATTGTCCAATTCTCAGGAAGTGATAACTCTTATCAGTTTCCAGATAATATTAAGTTCTCAGTCGATCCTAAAGAGTATTAGCGTACATCAATATGTAGAGACATGTTTAGATGCCAAACTAATTAGTGCATTTAAATGATAGAAAATGAAGTCGTTGAACAAATGCAATTAGAAGTAACGACACTTATGAGTAAATTATATTGACAGCACCGTTGAAACACGTACAGAAAAATTGTTTACTGCCAACATATTGAGTTAAGAGTATGTCTAAAAATTTGCTTTTAAAAGAATCTGTTTTATCCATTTGAGGTAAAATAGAAATTTGAAAATTATTAGAGGTGTCAGACAAATGATGTGTTGCGTCCATTCAAATACAGATAGGTTGGCAAAACCAAACAAGTTAATCACATGTAGTGAGATCAAATGAGTCAGAAAAGTAGGCAATAGCAATTGGATTGTATATTAATGCAGTTGAATACTGCGTTGCATTATCAATAATTTAGACTGTTTCTTGATATTGTCTCAAGAGTAACGCTTTTCCTAATTAGTAGCAATGTTTCATTAAAAGAATAATTTTCCGAACGAATACCAGAATTTTGAGAACCTAGGTTAATGGCTTACTTGAGGTTGTTTTAAACTTTTTCCGCATCCATATTGATTATCCGTAGACGTAGTGAAATTAACACCTAAATATTAAAATTAATTAAAGTAGAGCCCGCTTTATGCAATGAACTTTTGATTGGACCAACTACACTTCTGTCTTAGTGATAACTAGTTCTTGACTTTTATAGTTTACTTGAACGAAAAAGCTCATTTTTTGCCATGTTAACCCTTGATAACACAAAAATTACATGAGTTACTTATTAATTTGAAGAAAAATCATAATAGAGACTTTTACACGCCCATTCTTGATCTCAGGGATATAGTTTATTCATTCACATCAGAAAGTAAGCTATAAATTATTGTTGAAATAAGATAATGATTGATAAACTTTGCATTCTTCAATATACTAAACAAATCGAACTATAGTAAGTGAGTAGAGGAAAACACAAAAACTAGGGGTACGAAATTCAATTGAATCAATCGGGCTACGCCTATATACTTTAATTGTTTAAGAAAAAAAGGAGAATTAATTTTCAAACATATATGTATATTTGTATAACGTTAACTGGCCTAATTTAAAAAATATCAATAGACCTATACAAACGAACATTTAAGGTTACAACCAAAAAGGTAAATAACAACTATACGCTGAGTACGATGAGTAAATTTTGATATGTAATTATCTTTTGTAGTTTAGATCGTGATTAGTTCACAACAATGATTAAGATAGTTGACCACTGAAGTAGAATTAAACATTCGGGTTGCAAAAATGCCATTGATCAACTAAAATTTAAGAGAGTAATACAATAAACTCATTTATACTATTATTATTGATTACATATATGAAACTTCTGTCGGAGGAATAAAAAAAAAAGATGCATCAACGCCTATACAAAATCATTATATTTGGAAGTAAGGAACTGAAAACAAAATTATTCAAATGACTAAAACTAGCAAGTAAAATGAAATAAATGAATATTAGTTACTTTGAGATTCGAAGTACATTAACCTTATTCAGGCTCTCTACTCGAATACAACTGGTCGAGTGAGAGATTATGGCGAACTGTCATCAGAATTGATCACCTCAAGTGGCGTTCGTCAGGGCTGTCCACTCTCCCCATTCTTGTTCAACTTTGTGGTCGACGTATTTTTAGAGATAACACTCTCCTCATCTAAATTTCCAGGGGTTGAACTTATACCGGGAGGTTCACTGGTTCACTTAGAATATGCTGATGACAGTTTTATTTGGTGAAGACGCTGACAAAATGCAGAGTCTTCTGATCACTCTAAGCAACAATGCAAGCATGTTCGGGATGCGATTCTCTCCCTCGAAATGCAAAATGTTGCTTCAGGATTGGGTTACATCGACACCCGAACTAGTGATAGGGAGTGAAGTAGTTGAGTATGTCGACCGCTTCACTTATCTTGGAAGTCTCATCAGCCCTTGTGGTCTGGTGTGTGACGAAATCTCAGCACGCATACTACAGAAGGCTCGACTAGCTTTTGCTAACTTGCGTCATTTATGGCGTAGGCGAGATATCCGTCTATCAACCAAAGGACGGGTTTACTGCGCAGCAGTTCGTTCCGTCCTACTTTACGGCAGTGAAATATGGTCGGTAAGAGTAGTGGATATTCGTAGGTTACTAGTATTCGATCATAAGTGTCTTCGAAAGATTGCTCGTATATCCTGGGACCATCGAGTAAGTAATGCAGTTGTTAGGAAACGGGTACTAGGTAAGGATGGCAAATCAATTGATGAAGTAGTGAAACTTCATCAATTGAGATAGCTGGGACACGTGTTACGTATACCAACGACTGGCTGCCTCGACGTGCGATGTTCATTGGTATAGGAGTAGGTTGGAAGAAAGCTAGGGGTGGCCAGACCAAAACATGGCACAAGTCCATGAAGTCACTGACAAGTGGGCTGAGCCATGTTGATAGGTGTAGACTACCTGGTTGGGGACCGTGAGATGATAGCAACCGATGGTTAGAGACCCTGAATGACATGGCTCAAAATCGTTTGCAATGGCGCAGGTGCATACACTCTTTGTGTTCTCCCAAATTTGATCTCCTTATTCCTTTTTGTCTCTTTTTTTCTCTTCCCAAATTTATTTCACTGTATTATACTTTTTAAATAACATCTCCAAACACTAATCTTCCCGATCACGGCTTACACTCTTGCTACCTCTACCACTACGGGATTTGGATCGACAACCGCATCTCTGTGCTAATGTGGTGTGGCAACTCCAACTGTTGTACGTACGTACAAAGTTCTACGTTGTTACTGACTGACTGTATTAAGGCAAATCACGTTAACTTGGATCAATACACATTTGTACCAGGTCCTATATTGGAAGACTATTCTAAAATATAATTTACAATGCTACGTTAGCTAACACTTAATCCCGCTTTGGCAACAACGGTTAGAGTTTCTCTAATAACCTTCCATGTAGGTGAAGACTTCAGTAACTATTGAAGAGAATTTACTAAAAACTACAGCGTTACGGGAATTCACAAATTTACTACGTAGGAAATAATAATGATTTGCTGTTGTAAATCTTTTTAAACATGGGATATATGTAATAGACTATGAATGAATAAAAGATACTTGATTTTAATTATCAGCGATAATTAAATCCAAAACTTGATTGAAAACGGCATCAAATAATTATGTGACTACCGTCAGTAACACTTACACATCCAGGTAACTAGATAGTACTGCAGTGTATCATGAGATCTTTAGAAAAACATCTAGTGAGCAAACGTCCATGGAAAAAATTACAAAAACTTACTAGCTTGATCTGTTGGCTCACTTCCATGTGTAAAAGCGTCATGTTTCTGCAAAGCGTCGAGGAAATCTTCTTTTGATACCATGTAGGGACTTCCTTTCACAGTAACATTCGCCCTAATTATTAAATTCACAAAAGCATTGTTTATTATTTAGGAAAATGGACGAGATTTCATTTTTCATGCATATACTTACGTAAAAAAAATTTACCAGGAATAAAGACTTTAGTTAAACGTATCTGAAAAATTGAGCATGTCCAAAAACTTGAGAATCGGAAGATACAAGTAATCTGAGAAAGGTCTAGTGATGTAACGGTGAAAAAATATGTAAGAAAAAGCTGCTTAGCATCTGCACAATTTTGAATTCGATATAGATTAATTCGCTAAATAGGCATTAAAGGGTATGCCCCCAAATGCCCTGGTACGGCCGAGAGTGGGGTGACTTCGCTCTCCCTCTCGAAATACTCTCACACAGCCGCGCGTATACAGCCTCTGCCAGGGAAGTCCTACTTATTGCCTTCTCGTGGCGCGGCTGTTGTTGACGAAAATGAGAGGACGAAAAGCGAATGTCTGGCGCTTTAACCGGATCACAAACCAATGGTGCACATGAGTTCCAGTATTCTGCGGGAACAAATAGAGTATGAACCAATTGTTGGTCACCGGCTTCCATGGGACTGCATTTCCTTACGATGCTCTACTGCCTTGTGGATCAGACCCTCAGGTCGAAGGCTCGGGGAGTGGCCCCCTAAGATAACCACCTGCATCGGTCTGGGCACCCGGGCAGTATCACAGCCCTCACACATATCGAATGAGATTTGTGTGGCGCATATGTATTTGGTGCCTCTTTGTACCAATATCTATGTGTTGAAATAAAATAAAATAAATTAAAGGGTATGGATCATCCAATAGTGACCATACAAGGATAACTTTACACACTTAGTGAGGTAAAAACCAAAATGTGAAATTCGAAGCTTGATTCGCCTAATTGTGTTTACACAATGAGGTAGTTCTACGTAAATACAGAAGCGACGTGAAATCTGGTCTGCGATACAAACATTCAAAGTTTATGTGTTGTGTTGGCATTAGGGACTAGTAGACTGCTGACTGAGCTCTCTGTAAAAAATTCATTAGGTAACTAAGAGTTATGATGTAAAATTTTACGATTTAGAAACCATAAGACAAAACCATCTAATAAATAAGCTACCAAATCTTTGTCATAGTATCCGCAAAATAACTGGAGACTATTTTTAAGCCATCCTATAGTTTAGAAATTACAAATATTTGAATTGTGGCTAACAGTGAAGTGTGGGACAACCGTGTTATCCTATTTGGTACTCGTCAGCTAGACGTACCTTTATCCCAGAGTTGATGTTTATATAAACTCGAACCCAGTACCTAATGAAAAGACAACGTCGTGGCAATACTCCTAGAATGCACATATGCTAATAGAAATAAATTAATGGCAGTCCATAATATCAACAAGAAGATACTAATCCCTAGAAGTAAAAAGTAGCTATGGCTGTAATTATAAAAATATATATAGCGTGATTGGGGTTGGGAGTCTGGTTTTAAAACATGTAACATCCCTTTATTATAGTCGTATTACAAACTTTAGTAGGAATCAAACTTGAAAAAAGTTGGTTTAAGAGTCCAAGTCAAGACAACGAAGCCAAATTAACTAACCGTATGATAGAACCAGCTTCAACTTTGGTAGATATCAGTTTCTGCCACTGTTCATGTGTTTGGGAAATAATTTTTATAGCGAATTCCTTGAACATACAGAGGCAATGAAACAGAAAAATGATGTAAGTGAAAAGCGTCAAATTCACAAAACCATGAAGACCAAACTTAATTACTCTAACCATTCATTCTATAATCGAAGAATCTAGAATATATGTTAATAACTTTATTGTTATCAAACAGCAAAGATATATGATGTGGCTTATTGGCTTCTGGTTAGTAAGTCATGAGCAAGAACGTAATTTCACTATTATTATTATGCTTATAACAGCACAGCATGTATTCAAATGATCTTAACAGGTCCACAATAATGAGGGTCGAGTAAAAGGGCGACTATTAAAAACGCAAGCTTTAATAAGAGTGACCATTCAAGGAGCACCTAATAATTGAAATGAGAAATACGATTTTTAAAGGTTTGAAATTAGTTCGGTTTACTGACTATCCCTTTGCGTCTACGATCAATCAAAAATGCAGTTCTTTGAACTTTCAATGAAGAGTCTACTTTCGACAAATACTGTGATTTTTTAAATATAGTAATAATTTGTTATTCTCATAACTTAATTCATGTCATCTTACATCTATTTCAAACAGTGAATGTGAGAACCTAGTTAACGTGATTAATAATTCATGTAAGATTGTACAGTAGTGCGGTTTAAAAACAATGTACCTTTTTACTTACTATGCAACATGATTTAGATATGCTATTCAAAATCCACCTACTATAAGTGATTGACCCATATCTATCAGTGAAACAGGTTATTCAAATGATATTATTTATATGTTTGACGTAATACTCATATTTTCCTTGTTAAGAAAGCTATCAGACGTTAATATTAGTGTGATAAATCATGTTGCAAATATAAAATATCAGAAGAACCTTTTAGTTTAGAATTACTTTCACTGATTAAGTAACGTTATCACGAAAGCTTAGGATTACCAGACGGATGACTATCCCATCGTACATAAATACAAAAACTACAATATTATGGTTTATCCTGAAAATACCATAACTTTTGGTCTGGAATATACGCAAGTAAAAAGTATTCCGATCGATGCTTAGACTGAATCGGATGTTTTTAAGCAATCACATATGCGTAAGTTTGTGTGAAAAATACAATTGGCAATATAAGTTGTATGTTTATCAAATTGATAACGCTTAAATTTTTTAGCAGTGACAAGTTCAGTAATCTGGTTTTCTGAGAATCCATTCAACCTACCACTCATAAAACGTTTATTATTACCTAAAGAAAATAATTGTCTTGAAATAATACTCGGTTATTAATGTGACTAAAATCAGCACTATAGAATAGTGACAAGTTACGTAAAAGTTCATGAACAGTTTGCAGAATACTTTGTGTTATCCTGATAAGAATAATGAGTGGTAACTGTTAGAATCTATTTCTGTACTAATGCTATACGTATATTTTTATCGTATAATTGTTAAATAACTAAACTATTCATATTCGTGTTCCTCATAAGCTTTATTTTGACCTATGAACTATTATTATACGGATTACCATTCTTGAGTTATGCCCGGTTTATTAATCATAGTCTCCCACATTCACAGCTACTTTTGGCTAGATCTTGCGCAAATTTTATTTTATAATTTATGTTACGATGTTTGGTTCATATATAAACTCAATATGTTTGAAATAAATGATTCATATCGTGAAGGCTAAGATTGGTGCTCTGGATTTAAAAGAAATGGTTAGACAGGAAGAAGGACCGATAAAGACTCTAGACTGCTCGTACGAGTTTTATGAGTCATTGCTTCAGCCAATAAATCACTGTTTTCCAGTTGGCGGTATAATTACATTATATAATAATAGGGCACAAGGACACAAGTTATAACACTTTGCCTAACTGAAAAGATCAGTGTTTTCGCTGTTCTAATTAGATCAATTTTCATAAGAGTGATAAAGTTCTAGGGTGTCCTGAAACGGAAGTCTGGGAAAAATATATTTTAATGTTTAAATGCGCGACAATGATCTTTCGGCCGAAAAATCCAACCTTTAACAACTAGGTCCCTTGTGCCAGCATGGTTCTATCTGCATCGTTGCAAACCGACAGGTAGTATAACAAATCGTAACATAAAAAGTATGGTTTAAGATAGGGTACATGAACTTTTGTTTGGTTCCCGTGACTTGCTTACTATCAGCAGTTCCGACAACAGGTATAAAAGTGAATCCAACGGGGATCTTCGATTACGTCCCTTATGCAAACTGATATGAATTATAAAAGAACCTTATAGTGTGAACAAAAATTATAGTAAAATAAGACCGACGGTGAGTTTACTTTGTTCTTGAACTCTCCATTGAAGGCAAATGTATTTTCGGGCTTTCCCGTAGGAACTTTGTAGTATTTAAACCAGTCTCGTGTAGCCTACGAAAAAAATGGAAAAATGTAAACTTAACAAATTACCGCGAAAAAAACAAGTGATAAATGGTAAAGATTATGCTACTAAAATATAAAAAAGGTCCAACTGACCAATAAACAGGCTATTCTTATGGGCTAAAATAATACAAACAAACATGACTAGAATTTACATAGCACGGCAGGCAATGATATCTAGAGTCAAAAACATTCGGTTAAATCAGCATTTCAGATAACAGTTGATTGCCCCCGAATGCCCTGGTACGGCCGAGAGTGGGGTGATTTCGCTCTCCCTCTCGAAATACTCTCACACAGCCGCGCGTATACAGCCTCTGCCAGGGAAGTCCTACTTATTGCCTTCTCGTGGCGCGGCTGTTGTTGACGAAAATGAGAGGACGAAAAGCGAATGTCTGGCGCTTTAACCGGATCACAAACCAATGGTGCACATGAGTTCCAGTATCCTGCGGGAACAAATGGCGTATGAACCAATCGTTGGTCACCGACTACCATGGGATTGCATCTCCTTACGATGCTCTACTGCCTTGTGGATCAGACCCTCAGGTCGAAGGCTCGGGGAGTGGCCCTCTAAGATAACCACCTGCTTCGGTCTGGGCACCCGGGCAGTATCACAGCCCACACACAAATGATGAATTCTCTATGTCTGTGGTAACAACTTTCCTCGCCTCGAAAAACAATCAATTGATTCAAATTATTATCATTACTATTATTGTCATTATTAATACTATTATTATTGTCATTATTATTATTTTCCACATTATTCACCCTCTTTTATACTTATACAGCGGCTCGTCTTTGGTGGAAATTCGACTGTATCTAAACGTTCTCGAGTCACTGTCCGGTTGAAAATTATATGTTACCACCGAATACGACGACTGAAGCAGTTTTTGTGAAACCACGTGCGGCCATTCAAACTGGCTGCCTTCATCGTTCGCACACTTATGCAGGTTGGTCAACAGATAGGGCTGGCTATGTCTTTGGAAAGTCTTCATATCGATGTCTGCTGTCTATCCGAGACCCGTATTCAAGACTCTGGTGAAGTACTACAAATTCGCTCTACATCTGTCGCTTCAAAAAGCTTGTTTTACGTGCGTTTATCCGAGGACCATGTGGCATATTCGTCTGGTCTTGCTGACGTTGGTGTCGCACTAAGCGCTAGACCTGAGGCAGCACTAATCGATTGGATCCCTATTAACGGTCGGTTATGTGCTGTTAGATTAGAAAGTTCCATCAAAGTGAGAAGGAATCGACGTGAGAAACGATGTGTTTTTTGTCATCTCCGCCTATGTCCTGACAGATTGCAGCTCGGATGCAATCAAGGATGAATTCTATCACCAGTTACCTGTTCTTCTCCAGAAAGTGCGTTCGACAAATATTGTAGTACTAGCCGGAGACTTGAATGCTCAGGTCAGGCGTCCAGGCACAGAAGAGAGTCGTTTAGGTGGCCGATGGGGACTTGTTGGTCGCAGGACAGATAACGGGGACCGTCTACTGCAACTTTGCTCAGACCACAACCTGTTTCTGGCTAGCACTAACTTTCGGCACAGTCATTGCCGATGTGCCACCTGGCGTCCTCCCTCTGCATCTCAAGCCTGGACTCAGATTGATCACATCCCGATCAGCTACCGCTGGCGTGGTTGTGTACAAGACTGCTGCTCCTTTTGGAGTAATTATCTGGACTCTGATCATGCCTTAGTCTGCGCCAATCTTGCCTTACTTTTCAGTGGACAACGAAGTGACCGCCACCAACGGATTGATGTTAGCAAGCTGGTTGCAACTTCTGTTGCAAGTAAGTATCAAACCGAGCTAGCTTCTAGGCTAGCTACCACTCCACCGAAAAGTATAGATGAGCATTGGTTGCAATTGCATGACGTCATGAAAATGGCGGGTACAGTCAGTTGTGGGTTTACGAAACGTCCCGCTTATAAGCACTGGGTTTCTTCAGGCTCCTTACAACTCATTGAAGCCCGTCGGTCTACTCCGGGTGACCGTGAGTTTGACCACAAACGAAGGATGTTACGTAGTGAAATCGGGCAAAGCTTGCGTAAGGACCGAGAAGCCTGGTGGTCGAAGCGTGATAATGAGCTGCAAGCAGTAGCTGCATCTGGTAACTACCGGAAGCTCTCCCAACTCATCCGAGCCACTGGCAGCAAGAAGTCTGGTGTGAGTTAAACAATCTGCGAGGATGATGGGATGCCAATCACTAACATCCACCGACGTCTTGGACGATGGGCAGAATTTTTCGAAGGGCAGTTCAACTGGCCTGCTGCTCCGGCAACATCGGTCAGACTATCCTGCCCTCCATGGCCGGTGAAGACTGATCCACCAAACGAGGAGGAAGTCCGCAAGGAACTCCAACTCTTGAAGCGTTACAAATCACCTGGCCCAGATGACTTACCTCCGGCTCGTTTTAAAGATGGTGGTGACTTTTTGATCAAGGAATTGACGACGTTGTTTACAAAGGTTTGGGAACTAGAGAGTGTTCCAACGTCATGGAATGAGTCGATAGTTGTCCCTATCTTTAAAAGGGTTCACGTCGTTCCTGCAACAACTATCGGGGGATAAGTCTACTTCCGATTGCGTCCAAGCTATTGGGTTCCATCATACTTTGTAGGTTGTTCAAAACCCGAGAAAGATTGACTCGCGAGGAGCAGGCTGGGTTTCGTTCTGGTCGAGGATGTATTGATCATATCTTCACCCTCCGCCAAACATCGCCGTACTTATCAAAGGCCAACAATCGTAGTGTTTCTTGACATCAGGGCGGCCTTCGATTCGTTGGATAGGACTGTTCTCTGGGATTGTCTATTGAAGAAGGGTGTGCCTGAGAAGTTTATTAACATCCTAAAAGCCCTATATAAAACACCTCAGGCAGAGTGAGGGCATACAATCATCTTTCTCCATTGTTCCATTCGAGCAGTGGGGTTAGGCAGGGTTGCCCAATCTCACCATTCCTCTTCAACTTTGCCATCGACGACATTCTGGAAACAACTCTGATGGATGTACGTAATGGTGGTGTGGATCTGTTGCCTGGAGAAAGACTTCTTGACCTTGAGTATGTGGATGATATTGTCTTACTGTGCGATAATGCCCAAGCCATGCAATCCGTACTTAATCAGTTGGCAATCAATGTCCGTAGGTACGGTGTATGCTTTGCACCTTCGAAGTGCAAAGTAGCTGCATAAGTGCTGGTTGGGGTTTGAGTGATGAGATCAATGCACGTATAATGAAAGCCAGAGAGGCTTATGACAATCTGGGTCACCTTTGGCGCCTTCGTGATGTTAGTCTGGCTGTAAAAGGTCGGATCTACAACGCGTCGGTGAGAGCACTTTTGCTTTATGCATGTGAAACTTGGCCTCTCCGAGTTGAGGACGTTAGACGACTTTCAGTGTTCAATCGTCGTTGTCTCCGAAGGATTGCTGACATTCAGTGGCAACACCATGTCAGTAATGCAGAGGTTCGGCATCGTGTGTTCGGGCACAGAGATGATAATTCAATTGGTGTCACAATCTTGAAACACCGACTTCGGTGGCTTAGACATATTCTCCGAATGTCGTCCCAGAGAATTCCACGTCGTGCATTATTTGCGGACTCTGGGACTGGTTGGATGAAGCGGAGAGGTGGTCAGTGCATGACATGTTGTCGTGGCATGAAAGAAAGCTGCAAAGAACTGGCTTGTGTTGGTCCTTCACGACTCCCTGGTTGGGGTCTGAGAGATGGTGCTACGCAGTGGCTACAGACGTTATCAGATATGGCTCAGAATAGAAGCCAGTGGTGATCCTGCTGTAACCTTCTTTTACTTTCTTTATAAAAAGTTGTTGTGTCTCCCTTACCTGAAAGATTTTTTTTCCGATTGCTCCTTTCCGTTCCCTCATTACTACCACACTACCTTACACCAAACTCCTCGTTATTGTTCTCTTTTTTTGCGCTGCTTAGTTTTTTTTCTATTTCTCTTCGAATTCTCATTGTTTTGTGTGGCGCATATATATTGTACCAATATTCATGTGTTCAAATAATAATAATAACAGTCGATTTTCTACTTATTATGACAGTACTTGAAGTGCCAAACTTTTCATATTTGTAGCCAACTCATTATGAATTATTTGCACAAATAAAACTAAATGAAAACTAACCTTCAGAAGTCCCGGCATATGAGTATCCACATCATGAATGTCTTTATTGAAATAAAATTTTAAGTAAATCTGTACTAACCATTTAGTTTATCAGCCATTGGATCATCTGCATTTATAACAATAACTTTCCAATCAGTTTCACCTACAAATTAGAAAGTTAGGTCACTAAGATGTGTTAGCACTCAGATAAATTAATCACAGCAACTACATACTAATGGAAAATTAGAGATTTATTTCAGTGTGGTAATTTCATAGATGTGATTCCAATAGTTATAAAATACAATACTTCAATTGTCTATAGGTTACGTTCGAATATACTCGAGTCGCGAATTTTTGACAAGGTTATGTTTCTTCTAAACAGGACTGCACTAAAGCACAACGAATTACTGGTAAACACTATTATTTTCATGGATCCCCATCTCGCTGCTCAATATGACAAACTTAGATGCGAGTATTGTTGAAATCTGATCATATTTGTATTTCATTTCCAGACTCGATGTTATCCCTGTGTCCAAACTTCAGTTTGAAAATTGTCATCTAAGCTTCAAACAGTTAAAATGCTACACAAATGTTACACATGTTAGTTTGGGTCACATAAATTACAGCATGTAAGTGACCGAAATTAACACTCCACGTCTTACACAAACCGAATGATGAGGTGTGGTGTATAAGAATTTAGTGACTCCTTGTACCAGTAAAAGGAGTGGGAACTCATGTACTATCAGTGTGAAATCAGTACCGAAACTTACTTCGACGGCTTAAGAACCTACATTTTTATAAATAAAAGAAAACTTTTGGTGATTAAGGTTAAAAGGAACTATGAAAACTAACCTTCATCTACCATTGCCAAAATACCTAATACTTTGACAGGTATTATTGAACCGGAGGGCCAAATTTTCGAACCTATTTCACACACATCGATAGGATCATTATCTCCTTTAGCCTTGGTATTTTCATCTACATGGTTAGGATCTTCCCATGTTTGAGGTAAGGCACCATAATTCCAGATATAACCTTTATGTGGAAATACATTATTTACGTAGCGCAGTTTATTATTTTTGACATCTTGTTTGATAGGATTCATAAGCTCTTCTTTGCAAATTTCCATTTTTGCATTTGTCCAGCGTGGTATCTCAACTATCATATTGTAATAGTTATTTGTATCGGTTAACAATGGGACATCATGAAAACATGAAATAGGAGATCCGCCATGAGCTAGAGAAGGGATAAACATTTAATAAAGTAATTCTAATCTTCCAATGTAAGTGATCAGTAAAAATCAAAACACTACTTAGTACTGATGGTGGTGACTAAGCTTCTAACTAACCCGACTAAAAATTTATAGTGAAATGTGTTTGGTGAGTTAATGAATAAACAAAACCATATCTGACTGTTTGACATTTATAACCACTTTATACTCTCATGCACTTCTGCTCAGTTGTATCGCGTAAGGATAACTAAACAATGATACATTTACTTATACTGTGCTAATAAATGCCGACTTCTCGAATATTTAGTTGTGATAATCTTAGTTATTCACTACGTTATTTCTATGTGCAAAATGACTAATGACTCAGAACTGCTGGAAATCAAACAGACCAATTTTATGCATTATGGTGAATTAAATGTACTACAACCAGTGACTTCATTTATTACCAGTAAAAGTCAATCGAAATCGTACCAAAGTTTTCATCTACATTCCTCGCCAAACTAGAGTAAGCATTTTGTGAACGAAGTTTGTCAATTCTTCAAATGAATTATATCGATGAAAAATACTAATCCCGCCTGTTTGTACGAGCTTATCTTCTGCTTCTCTAGAAAGCTTTTGTTCAAATTTATGTAACGAACCCTGTTTTCATTAACCGAATAAAGACCACCATTCCGCTACTGTACGATAACTCTTCAAGGTCTAAGAGATCGTATACTGATAATAGGTTTCCATCCAGGAAGAAGCACTTGAGCGTTTGTAATTATATTGTATTGAATAGCAAAACTACGAAAAGATGTGCTTTTTAACATCTCACTATTATTTTCATATTTTAAAATGATCGTTAGACCAATTCTTGGACTTATAATGTTCGCGTATTAAGCTTAATTCTATTTAGAAAACAATTACGCTTAATGAGGGTAAATAATATGGCCTGAAAGTTGCTTAAACCCAATATGCGTTTCAGATGGTCTCTTGTGCTGAAACATTGACAAATACTACTTAGTAGTTGGTGTAACATATCAACTCGGACAGTAGGTAGCAGTGTGACTATTCAGCGTCACTATACGTCAGTAATAAGTGTTGGAGGAAATCAATGTAAGATAAACGTTGACAATAATAATTTCTTCACATTGAAATATACTCGCGAAAAAATTGGCTAAGTATATCTTAATACAGCGAAGAAACTCACTGAGAAACATTCTGTAAGATAAAGAGTGAGAAGTCCCGCGTTTTACTGACATTACAGAACTCATAGCCAAAGAGGACACAACCGAACCCACACGCCGTAAAATGCCTCTGGACATGGCGCCCTCTCATACAGCCTTGAAACAATAGCAAATTAAAATGCAGTTTTAGTTTCAATTTTCGCATAGAAAGAACAAGAGGCTGAGTGACCTGTGTTAGTCCTGACATTTACGCTCTCTCAGATGATCCGACTTTCTTTTGTGAGAGTCAACAGATGGAGCTTCAATCATGTGTTGAAGTAATGAATTCCACTCGATGATTCGATGGCGAATTCAGTAGCCAGATGAAATGTAATTTGTTCTGAAACCGTGGACCATTTCAAAGTGTTATTGTAAGTTCTGTGTTTGGGAAGACGATAAAAACAAAGATAAATCAGGTGCAAACGTATCGCTAAATAAATTAAAAACTGTGATCAATTCACCTCTGATTATTTTTCATGACAATGGAAGTCGGTTTAGATTTGCCAATTGAGCATTATATGGGAGCCTCACCATTCCAAGAATCGACTCAGCTGTTATTCTCTGAACCTCTTCCAGAAGCTCATTGTCTTTTTTAAGAAGGGGCAGTATTTGAGTTTTGGATATACTGTATACGGGTTAGGGTTGGCTAAAGGCCCACCTTATTGATTAAAGAGTTTTAAAACCTTTGGCGGTTATTACTAGGTAGGATGCGATAGTTTTAAAGTTCTGCGTAAAGATGACTCATGAGCCATTGCATGTCTGGACAACAGGTAGCTCAGTGTTATCCATTGTGTACGTATCCGTACTTGTCAACAACTGCCAAACTTTTGGACCATTCACATAATTACTGCTGGTCATGTCGAAACTTCGAACCATCTTCATATTTTGTCACTCCTTGTATCTTGACATCGTCGGCTGATGACGTAAAATAGGAAGGTAATTTACATACCGGAGGAACAACACTGGCTCCATGACTGTACTATGAAGCACTTATTACATTCATCACAAAAATACCTGGTGTGCGGTCTATCTGAATTACAAGTTTCTATCCACTTCTTTACTAAAAGGGGACTATTTTTGACCGCTCACGTAACACGTGTTCAAAGAAATCCTCAAAAGATAAATTCGCTCTCACTGAGAATTGCCTAAGTTGAAATGCTTATCCTCAGCAATTCATTTTAAAGCATGCCAAACCCAACCTTCCATACGTATATGATATCCTATAGACTCTTTAGCAAGTTCATCTTAATGTAACCGTTTGGACTTATGGGAGATAGAGGCACAAATACTTTGAGCTTCCCAATAACAAGAGTTTGTTCTGTCAGTTCACAGTAAGCTAAATGTCTCCTGAATCCTTCTCTTACGAAGAAAAGCGCGGGCCTTTTTACTGAATCATGGTGAGGAGTTTCCGGTGTTCCTTGATGTAGCCCATAGCATTTTTGGTGCAGTATCGTTAATGTACAAATTCCTGTACATATCCCAAGCCGTTTCAGTCAGGGACTCTGGTTCCATTAGCCAACCTAATGAGGATACTGATTGTACAATTCACTGTATATTTGCCTTTCAGACATTTGGTCTGGCTTGATGTGATAAATGTTCGTTACCGTCAGCTACATGGTAACTAGAGCTGAATGACAACTTTTACTCAAGGGTGACGTATGGTCACGTTTTGTGAAATCATTCTTATAATGAGTCAACTTGAAACATAGTCAGGATGATTCGGAGTCCAAGTCGTACCTACTTGCCGTTTCCAAACGTTGCACTAGAGTACATAAGATAATGGCATCAAATAGTTTCTTTTCGAAGGAATTATCTGACAATTCAATACCCAATTTTTTCCAGTTTACTGTGGGTGTAATAAAGTGTCCTAAAATCAAACATTTACCCCGTGATGACCAAGTTCTTGAACCGTCTGGCATGACCTCGTTTATCTCGCAGCCTAACCTGTGGTACACCAAATCAATCGGCAAACATTGTCCTTTACATTTCAATCAGGACCTTGTAGAACTTATGGTCTACTATGATATTAGTACTGCTCTAATAATAGACCTAATCCTAAATCTGTGGATTTGTCATGATATGACTGCCTAATCTATAAGATCTTACGTGGAAGTCACACCATCAACTACACCAACTCACTGTATCGTATCAATTACCAATACATGATGTAGAACAAGGTTAGGCTAGAGAAAGAACAATATATTTAATATGAAAAGAAGATATAAGGTAACATTCAGCAGAGACCACGCCTGCATGGCCGAGCCATGCCGTTCGATCAACTCTAATTTATTCCTTTCATTATTCGCGCCTTCTCCATCGTTAGGTATTTCTTCGCGTTAAATATTGAATACCTATTTTCCGAGTAATCTCGTATTCAGCTTTGAGGATAGTGTGGTTATGGTCCAATGCCACTACAACCTTTCTAATTCACACAACCCATTTTCGTGGGACATGCTGTCGATAACGTTGAATGAGATATCATTCCCATCGAATAGAGCTACGCATATTCCGTTTGGCTTATGTGTTCTGTCGGCTCTCTCCTACATTTATCTGCATGAAAAACGTCATTATATTTTAGTTCTATATTCACAAAGAATAACTGTTCTCGACAGAAAGCCCTTATAAGACAGAATTCGTTTCAAAGTCTCCACCTGTCACTGACGGATGGTAGGGGATAACCAGACTACATAATTTGGGCGGCCAGCGAAAGTCGGGCTTACATAACACCAATGCAGCGAATCTTCGTTCTACCGACAGGTATACCTTCTCTCCATGCATTTAAAAATGATGAAGTTTCTTATATGCGACGGTATACACGACTATTTATTATTCTTTTCAGCCCAAGAACAGGGTTTCACGAAGGGTCATCCTAGTATAGCCAACCTGCTGGCTGCCGTAAACAGATGGACATCCATCCTTGATCGAAAGGAGAAGGTTGACTTCATTTACCTTGACTTCTCAAAAGCTTTTGATAGGGTCAACCATGTATTTCTTATCAATAATCTCAGACGATTGGGTATCAAATCTCCTCTAAATAACTGGCTCACTTCACACCTAAAAAATCGACATTTTAAAGAGCCGGTTAACTCCACATTTTGTCATGTTACGGAATGTACTAGTAGGGTCCCCAGGTATTGAGTACTAGTGTGTTTTGTGCTACTTATATCGACATAAGTAGTGTATGACGTTGGTCGCGAACAGGTCTGGCAGCAGAGAAACAAGAGGATCGAACACTAAAGAATGGAAACAGAATGCAATTTTTATGAAAATGCAAGAACAATGAAAACTGAGTCATTAAGAAATAATTAATGAACATTTTGCGAATTACGTATTTACTATTTGATTGTTAGATTTTATTAACAGGTCCTGTAATTTTGTGTCAAATACATTCGATTTTACCTCGTTGGTGTTCTTGTTCACAACACTTGGGTCTGTATATTTTCGATTTATATATACGACCTTCCACAACAGGTGTCGTCTGTCTTATTACTTTTTGATGATGGTGTAAAACTTTGGAAAGAGGACACACTGGCACTTCAGGAGGATATAACTCGACTTCAAAGTTGAGAAGACGACGAAGGACATACATTCAAGACTTCAAACTGTAAAGTATTTCATCTAAGACATGTTGCATACTACAGTTATAACTTAGGAAATTCCTCTCTAGAATTATCCCAAATTGAAAAAGATTTAGGAATGCTGGTACCCTACGATTTGAAGTCTTACGCTGACTGTGACAAAAAGGCTTTTAGAGCGAGCCTCGTAATGGTAACATTGAAGTGCATTTTTGGCCAGTTTGACGGAAGAACTTTCTGCATAATCTTCAACAGTTTCTTTCGTCCCCATTTAGAGTACGGAAAAAAAGTATTTCCTCCCTCACTCCAAAAGGATCAGGACACTGTGGATAGTAGCAGACGGCGGGACATGTAATCAGTTCGAGGAGTCGAATTCAAACCTTACTGATAGCGCCTTCATTCACTAAATCTCTATCCATTAGAGTATAGGCGTACTGAAAGTGATCTTCTAATGACTTACAGCATCCCTATCACTTCTGGACATCCTCTTAAACACCTACTTATGTTCAGCCCCAACACAAACCTAAGGAGTAACATCTAGAAACTAAAGACACAATACAGCAGAACGAACTATAGACACAACCTCTACTCCTTAAGTGTAGTCAAATGCTGGAATTCGCTGTCGGCTGAGCTAGTCCAAGCAACTTCCCATCGGTGCTTTAGGAGAAAACTTGAAATATTCTTAAGTACTAAGAATAATATTTTACTATGATTTACCAGTTTCGTTTTTCTTTATTATCAGTGATATACCTAGGTTCCTGCCTGGAGTATTGGTGATCTACTGCTACTAGACACGGAAACCCTTTAAGCGAAAGCTTCTTCTGTTCAGTCCAAAACCACTGAAACCTGTTCGCTATTTTTGTTCACATGCTGAAAATGGATTTTTTTGGTGCCCGATCGTAGGAATCACTAAGTCTTACACGCTCACGAAGCATGTACTTACGTATATGATTTCAATGGTTCTTGACTTATGTATTTTGTGTATGTAGGTACAGATAAAGTGTATGCACATGATTTCCCAAAACGAACAAACTATCTTCCTTATCTTTAATAAAATAAGAGATACTAAAATCAGAGGCTTAATCCTTCGGGTCGAAGACATAACAATATAACTGGTAACCATACTAGGGAGAGGTGACTGTTAACCCTACCTGAGAAAGTTTATGGTTGTATGTCACGAGATGCATGGATGAAAGTATTGTTACTGGTGGTATGTATGTAACGGGCAAGAAACAGTCAGTAGCAAGTACGTTTGAAGTGTGTGGTGACCATCAAACTCCCAATGTGAATGAATATATCTATATCTATGCTATTGGATGCATGAGTGAAAAATTGTGTTTTACCTGTATACATTTAACGTGGACTTCCTCTTCGCGCGACACTTGCGCTCCACGAAATAACATCCATCCACTGGATTTGTGAGACTTGAAAAACGGGGACTATTTTCAGGAAAGGCGATATGCAACACTGAATAAGGCTTGACTAAACTTAAACGGATGAAACACCATCTTATTTAAGCCACCATCGTGGCTTGTTCAAAAATCAGGATT